AGCCATGGCCCTACTCTGGTGAGGTCCCCTTCACCCACATATCCCTGTCTCCAGGTGGGGTCCTTGGCCCCACATAATTTTCCTTTCTTAACCTGTGTTCCCTTGCCCAGTCAGGTATCCCACCCATATCCTGTACCTCCCTCCTCAGCTATGCCCCTTCCTAAACCATGTGGGCCCTCCCTCAGTCAGGATCTCTAGAGACTGGCTGATCCCTTCCCTAGCAGGACCTTCCTACCAGTTAGGCCCTCTCTCCCAGCCTGCTCTATTAACCCATCTCCAGTCTTTCGTTGCTCTCAGCATTCAAACCTCTCCCATACCAGCTTCCCTTTCCTAGCCTAGCCTCTTTCTCCAGTTAGGCAAAATTTCCCTGCCAGGATCTTCTCACCACTCCCAAGGTCAGCTCCACCCCCTGTCCCTGCCAGTCTCCCTTCCTCAGATTGCTCTACCCTCTCAAGCCTCTGCTCCCTTTAAACACTTTGTATAGCCCTATCCCCAGGCTCCTTCCCTTGTCACCAGGGTCCTCACCAGCCTATGGCCTTTTCTCCAGATTCTGCTTGTTTTCCAGCTAGATCTCCTTTCCTACTCAGTGTCCTTCCCTGGCCTGGGTTCTTTTTGAAAGCCTATGGCTCCTCCCTCAGCCAGGCACCCTTCAACCAGGCTTTGCCCCTGTAACAGTTAGGGACACTTTTCTCTGACTTCTTACTCTACTAGGTTTCCTTCCCTTGGCCAGCTAATTTCTTCCTCTTTGAACATCTCCTTACCTGCACCCTATTTTATTTATTTATTGAGCTATACCCCTATCCCTTATTTTTATTTTTTTTGTGTGGTGCTGGGGATCAAACCCAGGGCCTTGTGCATGCAAGGCAAGCACTCTACAAATTGAGCTATAGCCCCAGCCCTATTTTTTTTTTTTTAAATTTTGAGACACAGTCATGCTAAGTTGCTATGGTTGTCCTCAAACTTGCCATTCTTCTGCCTCAGCCTCCTGAGTCACTGAGATTAGCACCATCTTCCCACTTAGGCCTCCTCCTTTACCCTGTGTCCCTGTCCATAGCCTGTCCACTTCCTCTGACTCCCTACCCAGCTAGGTTCCCTTCCTGAGCCTATTCCTTCTGTTCCAGTTTCTTCTTGCCTTGCCACTCCCCTGCTTGGCCCCTCTACCCATCTGGGTCTACATCTCCTAACATCCCCCTACCCTAGTTAGGCTCCCTTCTCCTTCCATGACTTTCTACACCATAGGGCCTTCTCCAGCGTATGTCCCTTGCATGCCTACACCCCCTTCCCCATCCAGACCTAATTTTCCTGCAAGGACCTCCTCTGCTGCCTATGCCTCCCTGCCTGGGCCAGCTTCCTCTTCTCTGCCAGGATCCCTTCCCAAATCATGTTCCATCCCAGATTATTCATTCCAACCTTTCAAGCCTGGTGGCTCCTCTACCAGCCAGGCTCCTTCCTCTGTCCTCCTCCAGACTGACCCTGTTCCCCAGATAATGCCTCTTCCCTAGGAAGGCCCATTCTCCTACCAGATCCCTTTCTCAGCAGGTGACCTTTTTCTGCTTGCAGCTTGCCCCAAGCATTTCCCCATTCAGTAGCCACAGACCCTTTTGTCATCTGCTGTACCCTTCCAACCTGGCCTCTTGCCCCAAAGAATTGCCAATTCGCCAGCCTATTTCTCTTTCCATGGTTAGGATCTTTCCCCCTGTCCAGCTCACTTTTCTGCCCAACTAGACCCCTTCCCCAGCAAGGTTCCCCTCTTCTGTCTATGTCTCCTTTCTGAGCTAGCTTTCCCTTCCCAGCCAGGCACTTTTCCCAAGCCCACCCAATCCTAGCCCTGACAAGACTCTACCCAGAATGCAGCCCAGTACCCAGTCAGCTTCCTTTTCCTCTGTAAAACTCCTTTCCCCCTTCCCTCTATAAAACTCACCCCAGCTGGGTCACCTGCCCCTACCAGAAGACCTTCACCAGCCTGTGTCCCTATCCATAACCTGGACCTCTTCCCTTGCCAGGCATCTTCCCTCAGTCAGGCCTTTGCTGTAAGCCTGTGCTCCCAACACCACCAAGCGGTACCTCCTTGTCCATCAAAATCCTCAACAAGACTGAACGCCTCCCCTCCTTTTGTCCCAGAGCCCATGCAGGTCTTCTCTAGCCAGGGCCTCCTCATCACTTACGCTTTATTCCTTAGCCTGTGCCCCAAGCCACACCCCCATCCCCAGTTTTTTTTTTTTTTTTTCTGCAATGCCCTATTCAATCTCTTAGGCTGCCCCTATCTCCAACTTGTACCCACCTTCCTAACCTGTTCTCTTCTCCTGCCTGTGTCCCTTCTGCAGCTTGTCCCCCTTCCTCCCTGGCCCATAATCCCCTCATCAGTGTCCCCATCCCTATAAATGGCTCTCACAATGTATCCCAATACCAAGTTTTTTCGGGGACCTCTTCAGAGAGCTGACTAGCTGAAACTCTTCTGTTACTCTCATTTACACAGTGAGGTCTATCTGGCAGAATTTTCATATTTGTATTTTGGGAACACCTAAAAGATACCATAGCATTTTTTAACCTTTATTTTATTTATCCATTATTATGTGGTACCGAGGATAGAACCCAGGGCCTCCCGAGCACTCGCCTAGCAGTTAGGCGAGTGATCTACCGCTGAGCCACAACCTCAGCCCCACCATAGCATTTTTTTCCATGCTGAAATATAGCCCTAGAATGACTAGGTTTTGGAAGTGGGGGTTCTTATTCAAACACAGCAATGAGAAAGAACATCCTTAACTGAAACAGTTTAATTGTTTACTGAGTGAAACATCAACTCAGGATAGCCTTCCTTCCAGTCCATCATCATGATTGCAGGTACATTTCTCCTCCCAAAAGCCTCACCTGGTTTCCCTCTGCATCTGCTCCTTATTCCCCAGGTTACCATTACTTAAGTATGGATAAAACCCATGTGAACTAAGCCACACAAAAATAGAGAACCAGGTATTTTTAAAATTTAATTTATTTTTAAACAAGTTGCCTAAATTAAAAAAAAAAAACTTTAACTTGTAATATTTTAGAACATTTAAAATGCACAGATAATTTAAGATTTCAACAACACCACTGAAATGCAGATTCTGAAGATTAAATTCAAATTTACTGCAAATGATTTCACTTTTACTATTTTTTTGCAAATTCACAGCATCAACAAATCTCAATCAACAAACCTACATCATTTAACTTTTTTTCCCCTCATGGAAATTGTTGATATAACTAGATCAATTACTTACTTAAGATATATTTTTTAAATACTTTATTTTAAAAAATATGAGAAGGCACTAAGTTCATTCTTTCACACTTCATACCAGTTCACATAACAAGGTGGATCTACCTGAATAAGATCATAGCATTTAATATCTCTAAGAACAAAGAAAATTTACTGGAAGTTAAACTACCTGCTGGTTCATCTCTTTTTATTTCACACTGGTTGAAGAGATAATGAAATGGTTTAAACTACCTGAATAAAATCCAGGTAAATGGATGGAGTTGGAGAATATAATGTTAAGTGAAGTTAGCCAATCCCAAAAAACCAAATGCCGAATGTTTTCTCTGTTTTAAGGATGCTGATTCGTAATGGGGTTTGGGGAGTCATGGGATGAACTCTAGATATGGCAAAGGGGAGAGAAGGGGCAAGGGGGTAAAAAAAGATGGTGGAATGAGATGGACTTCACTACCATAAGTTCATGTATGAAGATGACACGAATGGTGTGAATATACTTTGTATACAAGCAGAGACATAAAAATTGTGCTCTATAAGTGTAATATAAATTGTAATGCATTCTGCTGTCCTGTATAACAAATTAAAATTAAAAAATAAAATACAAAAGGGAATTAAGGGGCTGGGGATGTGGCTCAAGCGGTAGCACGCCCATCTGGCATGCGTGCGGCCCGGGTTCGATCCTCAGCACCACATACAAAGATGTGTGTCTGCCGAAAACTAAAAAATAAATAAAATATATAAAAAAGGGAATTAAGTTTAGATTTTTCACATCTTATAATGAGCCATACTGTCTATTAAATCTATCTAAATTAACTTTTTATATTTAACACATTTACCTTTTAACAAATGCTATTATTTAGAATTTAGAAAACATTTCAGCAATAAAATTTTTCAGTCCCACAATTTTCAATGAAAATATTACTGTTGGAACTCTAGTTCATAACCTGAGACATTGTGTCATAGCCCAACATAAACAAAACAAAACCTCAACCCAACAAGAACAGTTGGTGACCATTTTCCCCCCAAAAACAGCAAAAGGTATTCACAAAGGAATGTAATCACATAAACTCCTTTATCTAAGTAACCCAGCAAACACATGGGAAAATCTGAAGATGAGGGACACTTTACTGAACTTATTTATCCCGAGTTAAGAACATGTCAAAACACAAGTTCATACTCACACACACACACACACACACACACGTTGTAGTTGGACACAATGCCTTTTATTTATTTTTTTAAATAATTAAAAAATATTTAGTTGTAGGTGGTCACAACACCTTTATTTATTTTTATGTGATGCTGAGGTTCGAACCCAGCACCTCACACATGCTAGGTGAGCGCTCTACCACCAAGCTATAGCTGCAGCCCCAACAAGTTCCCATTTTTATCCAAAACTCTTTGAAACACTACCAACTCTCAGTAGGAGAGAGAACCAAAGATCTACATGGGCAAGAAGAGTTCAGAGCTTATCAAAATCCTGTCTCTCATGTAGTAAAATCAGACATTCCCTCATCAGTCTCCCATCTCCCACCGCTTGAAGGAATCAACGAAGGAACCACAGGGAGGATAGAAGGCCAAGGGCTAAGCAGCAGTGGGAGGAACCTATTAAGTAAAACGAGGAGTGAAAAAAAAAAAAAAAAAGAACCAAATGGAAAAAAAAATAAGCCTACTGAGCAGATGAGGCAGCGGCTTCAGCTCTAGCGACTGCGTGGCAGCAATGGCATCCAGAGGGTTCTGTAGCATGTGAAAAGGCCTAGAAGAGTCGAGGAGCTGCACCACCGACAGCGCCAGCCTCGAGTGGCTTCACCGAATTGTAGTGCTCTCCAAGGTTGCAGGCATAGTGTAGATAGACCAAGATGAGTGGTTTCTTCTTGTACTCCTCCCCAATGACGATGATGGGTGAATCGGCCTGGATCACTTTGATGGGCATCTGCAGGATGTGAGACAGGGCTCTCAGCTCCAGCTGGCCTCCCCATGATGCACTGCGTTTGATGTTTTCGCAGTAGCTCAAGAAGTCGTCGCGGGTGTAGGTGCCACCCGTCTCTGGGTCGCTGAAGAAGGGCAAGAAGTCGTCGACATGTTTCTGCATATACTCAGCAGTGCGGCAGCGCAGGCTCTCCACCGTCATAGAGAACGCCAGCTGATCTTGGATGGCACGGTACATACAGTGGCCATCAGCAGGTATATCCTTCATCTCCAGATTCTTGGATTCAAGAATGGCAGCGACCTTCTTCTCCTCCTCACGACGGAAGCTGGCCATATGCTCCATTTCTGCTTTAGCGATTCTTTCCAGGCTATCTCTCTCCAGGGCTGCCCTTCTTTCCCGTCTTTTCTGTGCTCTGGAAACTCGGGGAGGTTGGTTCTCGAGATCCATCTTGGCCAGATCTTCAGTGATTGAATCAAGATCACTGTTGTCTGGGAAGTTCTCTTGGAACCTCTCCAACTCCTGCTGGTGCCTCTGCTCCATCTCGGCCTCAAGGCGGGCCACGTCTAGGAGCAACTGCTTTCTTTTCTTCTTGTCGCTCTTGGGGACGGAGTTTTTCATGCTCTGGATGCGAGCCTGTAGCTCTTTCTTCTCCCGGTGGTGGCGGCGTATCATCCGCTGGTGTTCACTCGGTAAGTCATCCATAGTGTCCTATGGATGGTAACCGTGTGAACTTGATGGTAGACACAACCCCCTCAGCCTTCGCGAGCCTTGGCGCTGTGAGCGGGAACAGCTATTTGCGCTTACTTTTATTCACAATCCTCTCTGCTATTGGCCAGTCTCTCTAGGGCTACGCCCCTGAACACATCTCACACTGTGGTTGGCTGTTGGGAAACCCCTACGTACATCTTCAGTAGAACCCGTAGCAACTCCTGCTTCCGGTTTTAATGGAATTCAAAGGTCGTTGGTAAGAAACCACCTTTACGCAATACGGGCCGCAATTGGGCTTGAAGAGCTTTTCTGTGACTTTTACTGCTTATTTAGCTCCCAAGTTTGGACACAACACAGGCACAGGCCATGCTTGATAACACATTATAAATTCTATGTATTTTGACCCTGGACTTGGCATTGTCTCAGCCACATTGACCATTTAACCCTTAATCTTTGTGTATCGGAACAAAGACATTTCCTTACATTCCTGGGAACAGAGTCTCTCCAATTTAAGGCTTAAATCCAACATACTCCATCTCAGTTTAAGAAGGCAACAGCAACTCTCCAAAGAGCTACTCACCGCAAATAAGCAGTTCTCTTTGAGGCATCAGAATTCACCTATTCTAAATTCCTCGTCACTTAGGCCCTCAGCTCCTCAAATGGACTCTCTAGGATGTCCAGGAAGCACCATGGTCGGAGCTCATCAAACCACTTCTGGTTACTTTGAACCTGTAAAAGTTCTGCAAAGAGAAAAAAACTCAAATGCACTCTCATCCTGCCCCATCCTGTTCATTTGTATCTTGAATCCCCAAGCAGATCAGCTGTTTAGATAAAGCTTCCCCATTATTACAAATAAGGAAAGTGGACCTTTATCAAATTAGCTGCGTGTATCAAAATTTTATTTTTATTTATTTATTACACACTAGGTATGGAACCCCAGACCTTACTTGTGCCAGGGGAGTGCTCTACCACTGAGCTACAATCCTACTCATTTTAATGTTGTTTATTTTATATTTATTTATTAGTTGTTTTATTCTGTTTTAGTTGTAAATGGGAATAATGCCTTAATTTTGTTTATTTTTATGTGGTGCTGAGGATAAATTCAGTGCCTCATGCATGCTAGGCAAACCCTCTGCCACTGAGCTACAGCCCCAGCCCTATTAACTAGTTTTTGATACCGACCATTGAACCCAGGGGTGCTTAACCACTGAGGCACATCCCCAGCTGTTTTTTATATTTTGTTTAGAGAAGGGTCCTGAGGAGTTGTTAGGTCCTTGCTAATTTGCTGAAGCTGGTTTTGCACTTGTAATCCTCTTGCCTCAGCCTCCTGAGCCTCTGGGATTACGGGTATGTGCCATTGCACCTAGCAACTCTTATTTTATTTATTTTTTTGCACCAGGGATTGAGCTCAGGGGCACTCGACCACTAAGCCACATTCCCAGCCCTATTTTGTGTCTTATTTAGAGACAGGGTCTCACTGAATTGTTTAGCACCTTTGCTGAGGCTGGCTTTGAATTTATAATCCTCCTGTCTCCGCCTTTCAGCCGCTGGGATTACAGGTGAGTGCCACTGTGGCTGCCCAGTTAATTTTGACCTGTTTTAAAAACTAAAAGATTTATAGCTTTAGGTCTTATAGTTAAATCTGTGGTTTATTTTGACTTTATTGTTTGTGTAAGGTTTGAGAATTAGGTCGAATTTCATTCTTTTGCTTAATGATGTCCATTTGTTCCCATACCATTTGTTAAAAAAGCTATGCTTCCTCCATTGAATTGGTTTTGCACTTTTTTTCAAAACTCAGTTGGGCATATTTTTGTGGATTATTTCTGGGCTCTCTGTTCTGTTCCATTTATCTGTCCATTCCTCCACCAACACCATATAGTCTTGATTAGTGTAGCTATGTAATAAATCTAAAAAGCAGGTAAACCATTTCCTCCAATGTTCTTCTTTTCTTTTAAAATGTTTTAGTGACTTTAGTTTCTTTGTCTTTCTGTATAAATGTTACAATATTATATATGTGTAAAATCTGGCAGGACTTTCATAAGAATTATATTAAAGCTGTACCTCAATTTGAGAAAAAAATGACATCTTTACTATGTTTACTATGTCCAATCCATGAACATCTATGCATTTATCACCATTTATTCAAATCTTCCTAGATTTCTTTTGTTACCCACTTTATAGTTTTTATCATATAAATTCTGTGTGTATTTTATTAGATTTACTTATGAATTCTTTGTTTTTTGAGTGATTATGAATGGTATTGTTTTTAATTTCATTGTCCACATATTAATTGCTAATAAGTAGAACTATAGTGGACTATTTTTTTTTTGGCACCAAGGATTGAACCCAGGGCTGCTTAACCACTGAGTCACATCTCCAGTCCTTTTTCTTTTGTATTTTGAGACAATGATTCACTAAATTGCTAAGTTGCTTATGGCCTCACTAAGTTTCTGAGGCTGGCTTCAAACTTGCTAGCCTTCTGCCTCAACCTCCTGAGTTGCTGAGATTATGGGCATGCCCCACCATACCCAGCTTTATAGTGGATTTTGAATATTTGTGTTCTATGACTTTGCTTAAGTCACCTTTTTTCCTATAGGTGCTTTTGGTAGATTCCTTGGAACTTTCTACATAGACAATCCTATTAACTGTGAATAGGGTCATTTAATTTCATCCTTTCAAATCTGCATGCTTTTTATTCCCTTTCTTGCCTTATTTGACTAGTTGGAACTGGTAGCACTATTGTTGGAGAAGAGAGGTGAGGACAGACATCTTTAATTTGTTCCTGATCTTAGGGGGAAAATATTTCATGTTTCACTGTTAATTAAGCTATCAGCTGTGGAGTTTTTGTAGACACTCTTTAACAATTTGAGGACATTCCCTTCTATTTTTATTTTTTCTGAGATTTTTTGGCATGAATGGGTATTGAATTTTGTACAAAAAATTGGCATTAATGATAAGTGTATGCTATTTTTCTTTAGCCTGTTAATATATAAATTCTTTGATTGTCAAGTATTAACCAGTCTTGCACTCCTGTATTATACCTCTGTTTGGTTATAGTTTATAATTCATTTTATGTGTTGTTAAATTGTTTTGCTAATATATTTTAAGGATTTTTAAATGAGGGATATTGGTCTGTAGTTTTCTTTTTTGGTAGTATTTTGTTTAGTTGGGTATCAGAATTAGTAGCTTCATAAAATGAATTTGGAAGTGTTCCCTTTTCTATTATCTGAGAAGAGATTGTGTAAAATCTGTATTAATTCTTTAAATATTTGGTAGGAATATCCACCAAATCAATCTGGACCAAAAGATTAGTTTTTGGAGGGAGTTTTTAAATTGTAAAATAATTTTCTCTAGTCAGGCTAATCAATTATGTAAAAAATATGTATTTCATACTGATTAGATTTTAGAAATTTATGTTTTCTGAGGAATTACTTCATTTCTTGTATTTAGTTGAGAAAAGCTGGCCTCAAACTTGTAATACTCCTGCCTCATCCTCTCAAGTAGCTGGGATTACAGGTGTGCACTCTTGTGCCTAGCTGATGGTGATAATTGTGTTACCTTTTCTCTCTAATTCCTTGTTATTTGTCAGTCTTGCAAGAGACTTTTCCAATTTCTTGATCTTTTCAAAGAACATGATTGTGTTAGTAAACTTTTCATCACTTTGACCAAAATACCTGACCTGAACTACAGAGAAGAGGAAAGATTTATTTTGGGTCACAGTTTCAGAGATTTCAGTCTGTGGGTGGCTGGGTCCAAGATAGAAATATGGTGGAAAGATAGGACACAGGAAAACTGCTCTGCTCATGGCAGCCAGGAAGCCAAGTGTTGGGGGATAAGGAGAAGATAACCCTTCCAGGATATGCCCCTAGTTACCTACTTCTTTAAACTAGGTCCTACCTCTCATTATTTCATTGAGATATCAAGTGAATTAATCCACTGATGAGGTCAAACCTTCATGATCCAATCATTACCTAAAAGTCCCACCTCTGGAAATTGCTGCATTAGAGATCATGTTTTCAAAACATGAGTTTTGGGGGGTCATTTCAGATCCAAACTATAACAAAGCTTGTTGTTTCATCCATTATCCCTATCACTTTTCTGTTTTAATTTATTATTTCTTTCTGCTTGTTTTGGGTTTATTTTGTGAAAGGAAAGTGACCACAACACTCGGAGAGACCAAGAGATCTTTCTGCAGCAGTGCAACAGAGGAGAAAAGAGAGAAGGAGAAAGAGAAAGAGAGAGAGAGGAGAGCATGCGCACAAGGGAGACAGAGAGATCAAGAGAGAGAGGCAGAGCAAGAGAACAAGAGAGCAAGAGAGCAAGTGAGAGAGGGGCCCATTAGGAGGGAGTTTTTATAGCCCAAATCTAACGGGGCCTCTGGGTCTGCAAGCTGCCTTGTTGGCACAAGAGGCGGTTGAGTGTTCAGCCTTGAGTGGGGGTTGAGTGTTCAGCCTTGAACGGGGGTTGAATGTTCAGCTTTGACGCAAACAGGTGATAAAGGACCAGACAGAGGGGGGTTTGAGTGCGTGGGCCATCCTGCAGCTAACACTTGTTCAGCCTGCCCTGCAGATAACATAGTTCAGCCTGTTCTGCACCTAACACTTTGTACATCTTTTTATTTTTATTTTATTTCCTTTTTCTTATTCTTGAGATTTAAGACTTTCTCTGTTTTTCTAACATATGCATTTAGTGCAGTAAATTTTATTCTCAGTACTACTTTAATTGTATCTCACAAGTTTTGATGAGCTGTATTTTCATTGTCATTTAGTTTAATGCACGTATTGGTTTTCCTTGGAACTCTTTTGTCTATGGATTATTTAGAAGTGAGTTATTAGCTTCCAAGTGTCTGAAGGTTTTTCTTGTTTTTCTTTCTGTTATTGATCTCTACTCTGATTCCTTTGTGGTTAGAGAACTCAATTCTATATGATCTCAATTCATTTAAATTTGCGGAGGTTTATTCATGGCCCAAAAGGTGGTTTATCCTGATATATATT